AAAAATGGCGGCTCCCCGCTTATGCAAATGAAGCCCGGGAAATTCAAATCCCGGGCTTCATTTGCAAGTGCGGTATGCCTACATTACCCCGCTAGTTCAGACTAGGAGGGTAGTGTAGACATACCCTCTGTTATTCTATAAGGTGCCAAGGGACTTCTTGTTAGTTATACTAGTTTTATCAACATACGTCATACAAAAAACCTCACACACACAAAAGCCTGTAGGATTGGTCCCTGAAATCCTTACAGTCCGTACTTCGTTCATGTGAGTAGACTAGCTGGTACCCGGCATTCTGCTGCTGCCACACCTGAAGTGTGGATGCCGTCTGCCATTCCGGAGCCCCAAGATCCCTCCAAGCTGCCCTATGACCAGGATCTGTCTGGGCTGCCATCCCTGCAGCTATGCTCCAACACAGCTGTCAGCCCCACTCCTGGGATTCCAGCTGCTGCCTGGGGCTTGGCAGCATCCTGGCACATGCAGGGTTCTACCAGTTAGGATCACCCCACTTGCCAGGATGCAGCCCCTGGCAGAGCCAAAGGTGCAGGGCCAGCAGCCGCGACCCCAGGAATGACATCAGCAGCCATGACCCATGTGCACTAGGTTGCTGCCAGCAGCAGAGCCCAAGACACAGGGCTGGCAGACAAGGTCCCAGGTACAGGAGCACCCCTCCAGCACCATTCCCTCTGTGATGAAGCCTGGACACATAGGCATGTGCACAGGGTGTGCCGGGTGTGTCCAGGCACACCCTAATGTCTGGGGGCAGCCAGAAGCTGCTGGAGGAAGAGGGGGATTTGTCATGAAGTGCCACAGCCCCTCACTTTAAATTCTCCGCAGCCATCTACTGGGCACTGTGGGGCAGAGAGAACGCATGCGCGGCGTCCTCAAACACCGCACAACAGGTGAAAGGGGAAATGCAGAGAATTTTAAAACCCAGCAGCCCAGCTCCAAAAGCAGCTGGGGCCTGACACGCATGCGCGGCGTCCTCAAACACCGCACAACAGGTGAAAGGGGAAATGCAGAGAATTTTAAAACCCAGCAGCCCAGCTCCAAAAGCAGCTGGGGCCTGACTTCAGACGGCAGCCTGAGCCATTTTTGCAGCCCAGGCCCCGCCCTACAGCACTACGTGGCAACCCGGGGGCGCCCCCACCTGTCCCGGCAGCACCATGCAGCACTCCAGGGGTGCCCCCGCCCAGCCGTGCAGGGTACCCCTGCCCAACCCTGCAGCACCGTGGGGGCGCCCCCACACAGCTCTACAGTACCCGGCCCTGCAGCACCGCGCAGCGCCCCTGGGATGCCCCCGCATGTCCCGGCAGCCCCTGCCTCATGCCTGCGCGGCCCAGCTCCAGGCCCAGCATGTCGTCTGGAGCCCTGGAAGCA